CCACCCGACATGGGGCGCGCGCGGGCGCTCTGTCTCCCCGTGCCCCCAGAGCGAGGGAAGGGGGCAGGGGAACGGCCACGGGAGGGGCCGTGCGATGGGGGAGAGGGGGGGGGGGAGGGGCAGATGACGAAGGAAACGGGATGAGCAAGGGGGGGAGGTGAGTGGGACACCCGAATCTTCGCCCCTCCGCCTCCCCCATATCCTCCCTCGCCTCTGGCTTTCCACTTCTCATCCTCCTCCGCCTCCCTGTTATCGCACCCCTCCTCCCTATGCCCATCATCCCCACCATCATCACCCACAGTACCATCATCATCATCACCATCATAATCATCATCATCATCATCATCATCATTATCATCATCATCATCATCATCGTCAGCATCATCACCCTCATCCTCATCCTCATCATCATCATCACCACTACCATATGGGGGCACCATTGCGGTTTCCATGACAAAGTCCCGTGTATGTCTGCCGCACCTAACCTTCTCTGCGATTTTGCTACACACCTTGTTGATGGGTGTTCCTACGGCCGAAGATGCGCCGACACGCGTGATGAATCGTTGATAATCTTCGGGCTGGTAGCACCACGCGAAACGTGGATTGAGTGGTGTCTGGCGCACTAAGTGCCATAGGAAGTGGTGCTTGTTCACAACAGAATACTTGTATTTCGGGGGAACACCTTTAAACGCCCTGTCAGACAAGTATTGGTAACACGTGAGGTAGTTATCCGCCGATGTCCTGAGTTGCGCGCACTCGGCGGGCGATAGAAAGAGCCCGCCCTGCTCGATGGTGGTATACACCTGGCACAAGCTCTTGAGCTGTAGCACCCTGGTTTTTTTCTCCGTGGAGCCATCGTTGTACTCCCTGGCCAGCGCCAGGGCCACCCTAGCGAGAGAACGTGTTTGCGCTGCCTTTACTGGCTTCAACAATACTGGGAAGTCGGAGCGGGGGGAGCCTTCGTCAGCAACGAACGTGCCGAACTTGAAATGGGTGATGCGGTGATCTAAACCGAGTTCGTCGTAGAGTTCCTGGATGCGTGCCCAGAGCCGCTCCACTATAATCGTCCTAACCCCGTGCTCCTCTTCGCAAACAATCTCGTAAAACAAGTTGGCGACGCTGTGGCCCGTGATTCCCAGGTCCATGGTGTGCATCACATCAGGCGATAGGGAATGCAGGGAGACCCCCCCATATATTGTATATCGGATGGTCCACTACATAGTGTCGCGAGTGGTGCCTCCAATGGTTGGATGGATCAGCATTGAACTCGTCGAACGGGTTGTCTGCTTTGTTGCACGGGCACAGCCAGCAGAACTCGTTGCTATTAGACCCTGGCATCTGCAGGTAGTTCGAGTAAAACTCGAGGTCACCCAGGATGGCGCATAGAAGCCCTCGGTATTTCGTGTCGGAGTCGGTCAACCACCTGGTGCCAACTTGGCCCTCTCTGGATCTAAACGCATGCCGTTCCAGTCCGACCCCCTCGGCACGCCAAGGGACACCGTTCGGGGGGGGCCTCCTTCGCTCCCGCTGGCCCACTCACGCCCCCCTTTCCGACCGTGCCTGCCCTCCGCCCTTGCACGCGGCGCCCTAGCAGCGCGACGCCACCGCGCCGACCGCGCAGCGAGCCAGGCCGTGCACTGGGCGCCGTAGACACGAGCGGGGGAGAGAGATGAGCAGGATAGAAGGGGTGGCCCAGACAACATGTGACAGTGCACAACACCACGGTAGCCACGACACGACGACATGGGGTGATTGCGCGCACGGAGCGGCGTAGCCTTCCCAATCTCTCGATGGGTGCTTCCCCGACGCCAACGCATTGAAGGACCACCGAAGGATTTTCCATATATGTATGAAGGTGTCGCACCCGTGCTTGTTTTGTTTGGCAAGCGTGCTCAGGTGCCACGAAACCAAAGCAATTGTCAGGCTCTTTGTGTTACCCTTGGCCAGCAAACTCGCCATGCTGATTGATGCCAGCGAGTCTCGGAGAACTCGGCCCCGTCACCGTGCACCCGCAATGGGATGCACGTGGAGGCGCGGTCGCGGACGTCCCATACAGGGTGACCGCGTAGTCGTGGCTCGTTCCTGAGACGTGTTTGAGCGGCCGCTTCCTGGATCAAGCGCAAACGGTTAACGACAGACGTGCGTGTATATGCACGCATGTCGGTAACCGCTGCCGTATATATAACATGATACAAATACATGTATGTATGTATGTGTATATATATATGTATATATGTATGCATTTGCACAATGGTACAAATGCATATACACACCATGCGTGCACGACCATATACATTGGGGCTGTAGGCGGGTTGGTTAGTTGTAGGTGGGTTGGGGGCGTTGTAGCTGGGCTGGGTAGGTGGATGGTTGGTTGTGGGTGGGGTTGGGGGCGAACTAGGTTTTAGCCACTCGGTGGCACCCTAAACTCACGCATTAGACATGTGTACGAATATACATAGGCATGCCTGCAAAACTATAAAATGCGCGTCCTGCTGGCAAGTTCCCAGAACTCACCCACGCCGGAGGTCCCGAAGATTCGTAATGTGCGTAACGCTCTGGGTGGTGAAACCGACCCGTTGGGGAGGGGCCCGAAACGGCATCCCCAATCGTGGCCCTGAGGGGCCTGGGGCCCCCCTGAGGGCCCCTCGGGGGATCTGGCCTTCGTTTTATTGTGATTTCCACCTCATCAACGAGCTTTCTGTTTTTGCCACCCTCGCCCGCCCTTCTCTGCACATCGCACTTCGTTTTTGCGCAACGCTATTCGCGTAGAGGGAGGTGTGGGGAGGGGGGAGGCCACCGCAACCGCAGAAACAAACATACCCGCGCGCTACGGCGCGCACCAATCCGCGAAAAGGAGATGGCCATGGCGAGAGAGGACAAAAGGGGGGAGGGGGGGGAGGAGGAGGAGGAGGAGGAGGAGGAGGAGAAGGAGGAGGAGGAGTCTGTCAGCCTGTCTTCTGTCTTCCTTGTTCTCGATCACCACGATATCACAAGGGAGGGGGATGAGGCGGAGGAGGAGGCGGGGAAGAGGAGGAGGATGAGGAGGAGGTGAGGTGAGGTGAGGCGGGATAGAACAAGCGAGCCTAGGGAACCCAAAGAAAAAACAGCACAACAGAGACCAACAAAAACATATATTCCCTGAGACGTCTTGCCGAAATCAGCCCCGGAGCCCATCCAGCAGAGACAAACAAGAGGAGGAGGAGGAGGAGGAGGAGGAGGAGGAGGAGGAGGAGGAGGAGGAGGAGGGGGAGTAGGAATAGACCGACACCAACGCCAGTTTATAGGGCCCCTGGCCCCTCGAGCTGCGCAACAATGATGGCCTCGGGGGGAGGGTGGCGGAGTAGGAGGAGGAGGAGGAGGAGGAGGAGGAGGAGGAGGAGGAAGAGGAGGAAGAGGAGGAGGAGGAGGAGGAGGAGGAGGAGGAGGAGGAGGAGGAGGGAGAGGCTGAGCAGGACGAGCCGGAGGAAGAGACGGGAGGAGGGAGGGAACAAGAATGGGAGGGATGAGGGAGGGGGAGAGGGGAGGAGGGTGTGAGGGAGGTAGAGGAGAAAAACGTATTATTGAATAGGGCAAGAACAGAGGAGGAGAAATGATGAGGACAATGGCGACGACGACGATGACGATGGTGGTGATGATGATGATGCTGATGCTGATGCTGATGTTGATGTTGATGATGACGACGTTGATGATGTTGACGATGATGATGCTGCTGCTGATGATGATGATGATGCTGCTGCTGCTGCTGCTGATGATGATGATGATGATGATGATGATGATGATGATGATGCACACGCCGCGGCGACGCCGCGACGCTGCGGCGACGCCGCGGGCGGCGCCCGGCCGCCGCTGCCCAGCAGCGCAGGCTCCTGGGGGGGCGCGTCGGCACGGGCGGCCAGGGGCGAGAGGGAAGGAGAAGGGGAGGGGGACGAGGAGGGGGAGGAGGAGGAAGAGGAGGAGGAGGAGGAGGAGGAGGAGGAGGAGGAGGAGGAGGAGGAGAGGTGAGGACGATTGAGGAGAAAAGTAGAGCTCAAATAAGTGCACATGGGAGGAGGGTGCAGAGGGATAGTACAGAAGGGGCGTCAAGAACGAAAAGGAAGAGGCCGAGGATTGAGGAGAGGGAGGGGGGAGAAGAGGAGGTAGATGGGGATGAGGGGCAAGAGAGCAGGTGGGGAGGTGGGAGGTTAGGCTGTGCGGATTTTGAGCACGTGAGAGGAGGTGGGACGATGAAGAGAGGCAGGAGGAGGCGGTGGCCGCTCATTTACTTGTCACGGCGACAGTAAATATATAAGATGCATGCATGCACGGATGCACGATAACGTTGCTGCACAGCTCCGTGCTGGCCGAGCTCAGCCTGGAGAGGGATTGGGAGGGGATGTGAATATATTTGGGTAGTGTGTGTGTGTGTGTGCTGGTGCCCCTGGGACCGTCTGGTAACTTAGGTGGAGAGACGGCTGGCTGCTGGGGCCGCGTACGTAGTCGCGAGCGTCGGCTCGCGAGGGAGGCTCGTTGGCCCGCAGGCCACTCCCGGGAGGGACGGTGGCGGGGGCGACTCCCTAGAAAAAGTGCGCACATGGGTCAAAGGCTGCGCGCACTCGTCTGATACAGGAGGAGAGCGGGTGAGGAAGATGAAGAGAAGGACGAAGAGGAGGGAAAAGGAGAAGGAAACAGGAGGGCGATGGAGGAGGAAGGGGAGAGGGAAGAGACGAAAGACAGGGAAGGATATTTGGGGGATGAGGAAGGAGGAGTGTACAGAAGGAGGGACAGGATTCCCGAGAGGAACAGGCATGGCCGAGGGAAGAAGGGGGGCCGCGAGGGCGGCTGTAAAAATCAGCTGAACATGCATCCAGCATCCACCACTGATCGCAACCTGGGAACCAGACATCGGCGCTGTGGGAAAAACTCGCACGCCGCTGTCCGAGCCGCGCAGGCGTTCAAAGGGCTGGCGATCGATCGGTGAATCCGCAGCGCGACCCTGTACAACTATATACCGAGCTGCGGATTCACTTCAGGAGGTGCTGGCATGACGACCACAGCGGGTCGTCCTCCTTTCTGCGCCTCTTGCTGCTGCGGTCATCTGTCTCCGCGGCAGGGGCTTCAGCGCCTCCGTGGGCCTTGGCGAAGTCTGCCGCCCGCTTAGCAGCCCTAGACTCCTTGAGGTGACTCACGGCCCCCGCGCTCGTACACGTTGCCAGGGACTTACCAGCAGCTTTCCTCCGTTTTTTCTCCTCCTGCTCGACGGTCGTCACATGGCGCTTCAGCTCCACCAGCGTCGAGGACGGGGTTGCCTCATCCATGAGCTTCTTAGCCTTCACTCCGACGACGGGAATGGTGACGGTGAACCTGAAGAGATCGGAGGCCGCGGGCTCGGGCGCGGCGGTTGGCTCGAGCGTCTGCTCCTCCTCATCCTTCTCCTTCCCCATCGTCAGCTTCTTGGAGTCCTCCGTGATCTTCACAATCGGGGTGGAGTCAGCGTCGAAGCTGACGCAGGCGTTGTAGTTGCGAAAGACAGTCGTCACAGTTGCGTCCGAAGCCTTCTCCGTGGTGTGAATCAACCAAGTTGGAACGCAGCATTCGGACGTCGCCGAATTGAAGGAGCTACCGTCCAAGAACAGTTCGACAGCACCGTTGAACAACGTAGCAAATGGGAAGTAATTCTTGGAAGGACGGACGACGGTCACCACCCCGGCGAACAGCATGTCAAAGTCCGGCGTGTCCAGTTCCCTCTTCTCCTCAGTGGCATTCAAGAGGATGGCGGCCTCCTTGGCCTTCGCAGCTGTGTCGATCAAGATGTGGTCTTTGAACTGGTGGAAGTTGCCGCTGTACTTCTCCCACAACCAAGAGGTCAATTGGTTCGTGATGTCCTGCTTCGCCGCTTCGCGAAACTCCAAGCCGTGGTCCGCGCAAGCGGGCTGACGCGATCGGTTGCGTTACTGGGCCAGGGAGAGGTTGCGGAGACAGGAGGGAGGGATACGAAGGAGGAGGGCCCCCAAGGGCCCCATCGGGACTCCCTGCGTTGCGCAGCAGATCACTGTCAGCCCCGCATGCGCCATCCACCCGTTTGAAGATTCGCGCGCCTTCAGCGTCACGATGTTGACAGTCACGCCAACGGGTAGACCAGGAATGCAATTGATGTCGGCTGGCTTGCACAAGTTGATGTTGTGGTCGATGCCCTTGATGTCTGGAGCGGGCTGGGCCGCGGCCGCGCCGACGGGAGCAGCTGCGCCAATTCTCACCGGGCTCTTGTCCAAACTCTTCTCGGTCTTCAGGCGCCTGGACCTGGGCTGCGCTCCCACCACCGCGGCCACCTGAGCCCCTGCACGGCCGCGGCTGCACTTGAACAATGCCCTGACAATGGCCATCCAAAATGTCACGCGCTCCCCATGGCCTCGGAGGAGGGCGTCGGCCTCAGACACCGCCGTCAAGTCCTCGGGCGACAGGGACGTGCAATGCTCGTGAAGCTGTCTGATCGGCGGAAGAATCAGGTTGTCGTCATCAAAGAGCTCCGCATCGGAGCGCGTAGCCGCGAAGTCGACAATGAACTGGAACATGTAGTTGCCGCGCACGCGGGCGGCCTTGAGCAAGTGCTTGGCTGTGTCGAGCTTCGCGCCCACGAAAATCTGGGGGACCTCGCACGTCCGAGCCACGTGGGCGACCACGTCGGCGATGAAGTCCAACGCGTCGTCGTTCATGGCAGCGTTGTCGCCGACCTGGGGCTAGGGGTGAAACGAGCAAGGCGCGCAAAGGCGCAGGCCCCTGGGAGGAGGGGGGCCCGCCTAACTGGATCTGGAGTTCCCCGGCCCGAGGCCCCCCCTGGGCCCGAGGGCGCCTCTTGGGCCTCTTGGAGGCTTTTCCGAGGACTCGGAGCCCAAACCAAAAGAGCGAGGAGCACGAGGAGGCGGAGGTGGAGGAGGAGGCGGAGGAGGAGGAGGAGGAGGAGGAGGAGGAGGAGGGAGGACGAGGGGGAAGGCGACACATTGGGAAAAGACAGGGGGAGGAGAAGCAAGGCTGAAGGCGAAGAGGACGCTCGAGTGGGCCCCAGCCCCAGACGGCTGCAGGCCGCCCCGTTTATCAAAACCTGAAGGCCTTTGCGACGCAGAGCTCGAGGAAATCCCGCAACCTCACGGACGGGGCGGGCCCTACTTTCTCGCAGATCTCTCGGAACACGAGCGGGTAATCGAGATGGAAGCGGACCTCGATGTTCATCGCATTGTTGTGAGAGAGGAATGTCAAGAGTGGGGCGACCACGGTGTCGTGCTTGCTCGCAATCAACTCGTCGAACATCTTGGTCGGGCTTTCTTGGGCATGAGACCTGAGAGACTGCAAGAGGCTTGAGGGTGGTGCAGCTGCGGCGCCAGATCCCGCATCATCCGCATCACCAGCTGTGGCATAGTCGGATGATTTGGCAAAGGTCTTGAATTTCACCGCGGACTCTGCAGCCGATTCCGCCAGCAAAGCCCTCAGCGTCGACCACGCGCTGAACATCGTGCCCTTGAACATCACCTGAGATAGAAGATGGAAGAGGAAGAAGCAGGAGGAGAAGGAGACTCGGAGAAAGTAAGCAAATCAGTAGGATGAGGAGGACGAAGATGAAGAGGAGGAAGAGGAGGAGGAGGAGGAGGAGAAGGAGGAGGAGGAGCTCTAGGAAGAGAGGAGCAGGAGCAGGAGGAGGAGCTAAGGAGGGATCGGGAAGGTAAGAGAGGGGAGGAAACAGGAAGTAGGGGCATCGCTTCAGCCTGCTGGGAGAAGGAGGGGACCAGGGAGAAGTGGGAAGAGCGAGCTGGGAGCAGATCCCAGGCGACCTTTTTCTGCCAGAGGAACTCTAGGGCGTAGCTGGCCAACTCGGCCTTCACGTCGAGCATCTCCCTGCACTGAGAGTCCACCTCGACGCTGCTGATGGCAACGTTCAGGCAGCTCATGATATCATCGCCGATGTTCCTCTCGCGACTCTCCCCCTCATCGGTCCTCGAGGAGACCACGAGGCTCAAGGCTTGGTCGCGGGGCTGCTCGGCGGGGTCGGCCTCGGGGTCGGCATCCTCTTCCTCCTCCTGGTGCTCCTGGTGCTTGGCCTTTCCCTTGGCCTTGCCCTTGCTCTTGGCCACCTTCGCCTTCTTCGCCTTCTTGACTTTGAGGGAGTTCTTGTGCACCTTTGCGTTGTCGTCAATCACGAACAGCACGAAGGAGATCTTCTCCTGGGCGTCCGCCTGAGATTTATCGAAGATCCAGGGGGGCCTCCGCTGGGTCGGCGGGTTCGGGCGGACTGGAACTGCGAACTTCAAAGCCTCCGACATCAGCACGCTGACGTCCCCCTTGCACATGTATCCATTGAAGCAATTGAACACCGTGGAGCTGATGCCGTGCATGATGCCGATAACACTCGGGTGGTGCAACTTGGGGTGCATGAAATCGACGTGGTTCCTTGCCCAGTCGCAGTGCTCCACGCCGAAGCTGACGAGTCTATTGGCCAAGGTCTTCGCAGAGTCGAAGTGGCTCCACGACTTCAGCTTGTCACCATACTTCTGGCTCACGAACTGCCAGTACTTTTGTTCGTAGTCTTTCCCGCGCGAGCTGATCGAGTCACTCTTCCACACCTGCCACGCGTTCACCATGCCGTCCACCTCAAGCAACAGTTCGATGTACGTGTAGCCGCTGCCTGTCTGGAAAGCCTGGCTGTTGTGGTAGTCCACCAAAAACTTCTTCACGAACTTGGGCATCTTGTAAGTGAGGCGCCGAGCCATCACCCCTGCCTTCACCGTCGACGCAAGCTGCGGGTTCCTCTTCCAGTCTGGGTCCTCCTGGATGAGCTCGTACACGGCCCGCGTTCGATGGCCCCAGCTCAGGGCGTAGAACGGCGAGGTCTCCCCAGGTGAGCAGACGAACCACGCCTCCCCAGCCACTCCAGGAACCAAGCCACGCTGGCGGATGCTTTCCTTCAGGTCGAACAGGGTGGCCCTCTGGGTCTCGCGGTTCACGGGGTCGCCGTGGATCATGCGGTCCCCCGCGGCGTCGAAGAAGCTCACCGCGACTGGAGATGGGCGAACCTCGTATGTTTCGAAGATCCTCGCCAGGCGAACGTTGCCCATCTCTGATCCGAACAGAATATCCATCATGTCAGGGTTGTCGGACTCCTCAAAGTACTGATTGAGCGTAGCCCGGCCAGGCAACACGCCAGCGCCAGCCTCCGCCGACACCACTGGCCCCGTCTCGCCACCTTTCTTAGAGCCGTCCTTCTTCGAGTGCAGGACGGCTTTCTCGGAGCTCATCGGCGACTGACTCTGGCTGCCTGCGCCCGGGCCCTGGCTGCCAACGCCGCTGACTGGGGTTCGAGGCCCGCTGGGCGCCCCAGCCCCGCCTGCAGCCGACGGCCAGCTCGAGGCAGATGACGATCCTGGCGTGGCTGACATCGCGGCCCAGACGGACTGCAGGTGAAACTCTGATTCTGCAACAAGCTGGCGCTTCAAGATCACGCTTTGCAACCAAATGGCTATGAGATGAAGGCCCCCTGCTGAGGGTCGGCGGAGGATGGGGGAGGGGCGGCAGGGGAGGGGCGAAGGAAAAGGAGGGGGTGGAGTGAAGAGATGCCCTTGATGTCCTCTCTTGTTTCTGACGCACCGTGTTAGGATATGCACGGTGACGTTACTGCACTGTCTCTCCGCTGCGAGCTCTGAACAGAGTACAGCACACGGCGCAGACTGTCACCCCCGTCTGAGGCCGTCTGTGCCGCCGCCGTTGGTGTTGTTGCTGCTGCTGCCGTTGTTGTTGTTGGTGTTGTTGTTATTGCTGTTGTTGTTGTGGCTGTTGTTGTTGCTGTTGATGTTGTTGTTGTCGTTGTTGTCGTTGCTGTTGTTTTTGGTTGCTGTATTTGTTATGGTTGTTGTTGCTGCTGTTGCTGTGGTTATTGTTGTTGCTGTTGTGTTGGGTGCTGCTGTTGTTGTTGCTGGCGTTGTTGCTTGCGAGTTAGACTCGGATCCCGCCACCGCCCAGATGCACGGAAATAGTCCCGAAATGGGCATTGGACCCGGTGTCTTTTGAACGCAACAATTTGGTAGGGATCAGCACCCGTCAGAGTGCTGATCCCTACCTAAGTGTTTGTTCTGACTCTTGCAACGCATACAAAAGAATGCCGCTTGTTTGTCTTCTTTGAATCTTCTCCGAATGCCAGCTAAATTCCAGCTAGCCGGTGACCCTGGTGACCCTCGCCACACACTTTGGGCTGCCCCAAGAAGAACAGCCGTGGCGATTGCAAAGGCAGCAGCACTTGCACGACATATATATACAAAGAGTGCCACGCATGTGAGGGGTGGAGGGGCCCGACAGCCGCCTGCCGACCACTGCTGTGCATGGTCACGCGCCGCCCCACGCTTGGGGCAAGGGGGGGGGCAGAGGGGTGGATATGGGAATGACGAATCAGTAAGAGGGCGAGAATGAAAGTAAGGGGTGGAAAAGGTGGAGGAAGGAGGACTGGCCGTGTTGAAGCGAGCTGTGTCGCTCAGAGCCTTCACGGCGGTCCCGCAATCGCCAGCGTGCCGCCGCTGGATGACGCAGCAGGGGCACTACTAACACTGCGCCTGGGCTTGCGCCCGGGCCCCTCCTCATCCTTCGCCTCAGGGCCATCCGAGATCTCATCGAGCCCGCGCTTGCAGGCGCGACGGGCTGCGATCTCGTCCAGGGCCGAGTCCACGATCATCTTGAGGGAACGGCGGCGGCTCGGAGAGGCAGCGCCGATCTCCCTGTCGATGCGACCGATCTGCGTAGCCTGGTGAAGGTAGACGAGCCCAGCGATGACCACGCACATGGCGTTGCCCGCCTGAGCGGCCATCACATGGCTCCTGGAAGCGACCGGGAGAGGAAGAAGGGAAGGGGAGAGGAAAAAGGAGGAGACGAAGGAGAAGGATAACGAGGATGAACAGGAGGAAGAGCAGGAGAGATCCTGCGCACAGGCATTGACGGCGGCCGCATCAGATGGAAGCTGGTCGTGGGCGGGCCCGTCCTGTCGTCGTTCAGAGGGAACGCCTGGGACAGGAGGCATTCGGTCCCAGTCAGCCACCTCGAAACCTTGCCCGGCACGTCGCGTAGATCTCCCCAGTAGAGGCAGACATTCTTGATGAGGGTATGCATCGTGGTCGGGGAGCCGTGAGCTCCGTGATTGTTGATCATGGACTGGCCCAGAGAGTACATGGAGGATGGAAACCTTTCCAGGTATTCCTGCAAGTTCTCGAACTCCCATTCGGTCAGGGCCTCTAGGAAAATGGCCGGGTCGTTCACGTCGAGCTGGCGATCCGATTTGAAAATGTTTCTACGGCACCGCTTGCGGCTGGTTGCCGCTGACAGCTCCTCCAGAATCTCGAACTCGTTCGCGACGAAGTAGTCGCGCCAGCTGATGCGAGCAGCCCTCCTGAAAAGATACATGAAAGGGCTGAGCAGCGTCTTGACGTACAAGGTCTTCGTGCGGTGCCTAAGGATAGTCCACTTCCTGAGGCGTGTCGTGGGGATCCCGTAATCCTCGGAGTTCAGGGTGGCCACGTCGATGTGGTAGTACTTGCCCAGGTACGCCTCGAGCAGGAAGGTCGAGAAGCCGGTGACGCTTTCCTGGATGATCACTGGCTCCTGGAGGGCGATGCGCAGGGCAAGCCACGCCAGGAAATATATCGCAGTGATGCCTTTCTCCTTGGACTGGCGCCCCGCCTTGCTCCAGTCCGTGCAAGGTGCCCCCGCGATGTGGACCTTCGCCATGGATAGCGTGCAAGGCTGCTTGTGGCGCACGCAGTGCGCCGTCGTCTGGACGGCGAGCCCCTCCCTGACAATAGGCCCCAAAGTGTCCCAGCTGCGCCCCGGATCCTTCATCAGGTCATTGATCATCTGCTTGAGTTGGTCCTTAAAGAACAGCTTGATGTCGGTGAAGATGCAGGCGCAGCAGTTGGGCATCAACAGCAACTCCTTCTGGGAATCGCGAGACCACTCGATGTGGCTGAGGACGTTCATGTGCGGGAGGCTTACCTCGTCGTCGTCCGCGTCTGGATTCTCCAGGCGCCTCAAGCGGCGCTCTAGCTCCAATGACAATTCATTCTTGGCAACCCCAGGGGAGTCGATGCCACTGAAAGCGGTGCTCACCGTGTCGCTGTTGATATTCCTCTTGAGGTCGAGAAGGAGCGCGTACTCCTCTTCCTCGTCGTCAATGTGGTTGGCCGCCGCCCACGAGTCCAGGACGTGCGCGGGCCACTGGAGCGCCTCATTCAGAGTCTTCACGCTGCGAAGTAAGCCCCATCTCGTACCCCTGAGCTCGGGGCGCACCCAGTCGCCTCTGGCCCTCGGAGGTGGCAGTGCGAAGCTGGGGCCGATGATCTCCGGGGCCAGATTCAGGCTCACTGGCGACCGACTTGGCGATGATGGCCCCGACGATGGCGATGGCGGCGATGGCCCGCCTCGCGGCGATGGCGGCCACGATGGCGCCACCGCAAGCTGCCTCGGAGTGTTGGGCGCCGAGCGTGGGCTATGGCCTGAATGCAAGGAGATGACATTGCCTGTCGCGCCGGGCCAAGCATTGCCAGCTGGGCTCAGCGCTGACTTGCTCGCCAGGGCGCTCAAGCTGTCATCCAGCGGCGGCGGCGCGGGCGGTGGTCCACTGCCCGTCGCATGCGCCTGTCTCTCGGGCACAGGCGGGGCCTCGCCAGCCTGGGCTCCATCGTCCCCATCCAGAGCTGCCGCGCCTTCAGCACCATGGTCGTCTGCTGCCGGCTGTGGAGCTGGCGGCGCCGAGGTCGACTGGGGCGCAGGAGGCTTCTGCGGCTGAAACTGGAGCGCCCGCTGTACCATAGGTTCCCGGAACATCTTATCGGCCTCGTTGAACTGGACCCACTTCATCCCCCCCCCTTTAGACAAGTAGAATGGCGGCACAATCTTCTCAGGCTCTGACATCACCCAAGCCACCAGGGATGGCTGCAGCCTAATCTTTGCTGGCATGTCACGGGCTAGAGTGCGATGAAATTGAATGGAGTGTGGCGTGCCCAGCTCATCCATCGACAGTCTGTGCTGGCCTGTGAATTTCACGCGGCCGATGGCCTTGAGCAAGGCTTTGCCGCCAGAGCCTGGAACCGAGCGAACCTCCTCCTGAGACACAGCACACTCAAGTACGTAAGTCCATGCGTTATTATCCAAGATCTCATGCGTGCGTGGGTCTGCTAATCCGCTGGGCAGCCATTCGCTTCGAAGCTCCCACTCCTTCCGGGCCTGGGCGTCGAATATCTTCTGGGCATGGGGCGGCCGTATGATGAGGCCTCTCAGCATGATGACAAGTGGCCGCGGCTGGTCGCGCGCCCGACTGGTCTGAAGAGCGAGCAACAAAAATGAGAATCAAGGTTGCAATGAGATCCAACACTCCAGCCAAAGCGGCTACCAAGAAAGAGAGGAACGAGGAGGATGGTAGGAGACAAGGAGGATATCCAAACGGAGAAGCCGGGGCCAGCAAGGGGCGGGGGCGAGAGGTCACGCTTGTCATTCCCCCCGCGGACCCCCCCCCGTGGGGACCCCCCTCCCCGCGGACCTCCCCCCCGTGGGGACCCCCCTCCCCACGGACCCCCCCCCGTGGGGACCCCCCTCCCCACCCGTGGGGACCCCCCTCCCCACGGACCCCCCCCCGTGGGGACCCCCCTCCCCACGGACCCCCCCCCGTGGGGACCCCCCTCCCCACGGACCCCCCCCCGTGGGGCCCCCCTCCCCACGGACCCCCCCCCCCGTAGGGACCCCCCTCCCCACGGACCCCCCTCCCTCCCCCCCGCGGGGACCCCCTCCCCACGGACCCCCCCCCCGCGGGGACCCCCCTCCCCACGGACCCCCCCCCCGTGGGGGGACCCCCCTCCCCTCCCCGCGGACCCCCTCCCCGGTGGGGGGGGGTGGGGCCTCCCCGCGGATGCGCGTGTGGGGGCGAAGGGGGGAGTGCACTGCTAGAGACTTGGCACGCGCAGGAGCAGCATATCTGATGTCAATCTTACGCTGTTCCATCTTTTGGCCAGGCACGCGTAGGAGCAGCATGTCCGATTACAATCTTATGTTGTTCCATCCATCGTTTGGCCAGACACGCGTAGGAGCAGCAGAGGCAATGCCAATATTATGTTGTTCCATATTTTGGTCAGGCACGCGTAGGAGCAGCAGAGGCAATATCAATCTTATGTGTGTCCATATTTTGGCCGAGTGTGGTGACGTTAACCCGGCGGTGGTCACGCAGCGCCGCGGACGTCGGCCTCGGCGAGGCCAGGAGGGGCATCCC